CCATATTTTGTGGTCTGTGGGACTTGAACCGGCGACCCTCCGGTTCCCAAGCCAAGTCCCTACACAATGCCGCCCCTTACAAACCTTTTAATGGAGTCGTAACAGGATCACATTGATCACAGATGGGTTTCACTAACATCTGTCTGGCCAAGCTTTGATTCAGTCGACTGCACTTCTGTAACTTCTGTTATTTTCCAATGAGATGATCATTGTTGATTCTAGTGCTGAAACGATCAAGCAGGAATTATACTTTGTAGAGCTGTGTATTGGCAAGAATCTGGCGATATGATACGCATCACGATACATGGGTGGTTTATTGCAATACTGTAAGCAATGCAATATTGCAATTTTTTTATCAACTTTTAGGAAAACTCATAGTATGAAAAACACACCAGTATATGCATACAATTGTTTACTTTTTTATGCAACCAAAACCGTGGGATCTAGATTTCTATTTGTCACAGTTCCTGTAACATCCAACAACATTACTATCTAGCAGTTTAAACATAAAAAATAAATCAACAGTGTTTTTGAGAATCAATACAACATCACAAACATCCGCTTACCCTACGCGACGCTATACTACTTAGGGTTGCACCCACCAACTGTTTATCCAAGAAACTGCAGGCAGGAATAAGGGCTGAGCAATTAATGGAAATATTATCAAAATCTCAATATGGCCAATTGCAAAACACACAAACCGCAAAAGCTGCAATATTTTGAAGATAAAAAGTATGACCAAACATCATTATAATGAACTACTGTAGTCCCGCAGATGCCCTGCACTACAGATCTTGTTTTATTTTTCAATTAATAGTTTACATGCAATGATTCCTGGCAAAAATCTTCTAAAACAGTTACTAAAACAGTTCAATCTTAAGTTGTGCCCCAGTTGACACTAACCAGTGTCACACATGTTCAGACACTGACTTGGTAAAAAGTTTCCCCCAAATGTTGCATGTTAGGTTTGCTTTTGAGATTGGTTTTCTCTTCTTATTCCTCTCTAGATGGCATCAAATGAGTCGCGGCTCCAGCAGCAGCCCTCCCAGAAGGACGCGGCCGACCAGAACTTTGACTATATGTTCAAGCTGCTTATTATTGGCAACAGCAGCGTGGGAAAAACATCCTTCCTGTTCCGCTACGCAGATGACTCCTTCACCTCTGCCTTTGTCAGCACCGTGGGCATCGACTTTAAAGTCAAGACTGTCTTCCGCAATGACAAGAGGATCAAGTTGCAGATATGGGTGAGCGAGTTAAAGATGTGATAAATTGTGGTTTTATTTGTGGTATTACATTACATTTCCACACCGTCACTTGTAATGGGTAAACAGACAGCAGAAACAACAGGTTTTGGCTTCTAAACTACAGCCACAGCTAATCATTCTTATTTATTGTAAAGTTCATTGCCTTTCTCAATTTATTCTACAATCGAGCTCCATGGGCATTTAAATTGCTCTTGTTAAAGAAAGCGGGTGCTCCATTTTATTGCTTTAGATGTAAACAAAGAAAAATGGAGATAAAGAAAATGAAAGTTAGCCCATGTGGAATGCTTGTTGACACTAAGAAGTCCCTTTCAGGCAACTTTGAGATAGAAGTCTTACCAGAAGACCTTTTTAAAGACCAGGTTTGTCTAGAATTGTGGGTTTGGCAACTATGCAAGAATTGTGCAAGTGTGAAAAGCCTGACTTCCTCATGGTTTCATCTACATTCTTACTCCCTGCCCTTATCTTAAGTGTACTTAAGTGTTCACATACAGGTAAATGTGTAAACGAGACCTATAATGCTGAGTAAGAGATTTCAGATTTCCATATTTGTAATTGATGCTAAAAAGGCCAGTTGGAGGTCAATGTTATTAATAATATTATAACTCAGATCTGGGGGTATTTTGCCTTTCATTAAATCAGCAAAAGCTGACTTTTTTTGGCCACTTGGGGGCAGGGCAAATTAGTTTGAGAACAAAACGCTGATGCATTATCACCTTTTAAAGGGCCAATGTATTAGTATACATGATATTTACACATCCATCAGACAGTAGCAACATTAGCATTTATTTGGAGTCGTGTCTTGGTCTCTTTCTCCACTAAATCCTGAGGCATATATCTGGCTCTGTAGGTGCTAAATGTTTCACTGTGTTCAGCAGTGGTCAGTGGGATGCTAACTTTGTCTGTCTGCTGTTTTCTGGGCAGATTCAGCAGTGTACAGTGGGTTTTTAGAATATGTTCGCTGCCTGCTGTGGCTGAAAATGATACTTTAGGGGCAGTAAGATTAAACAAAACACAGTAAAGTTGCAGACCATAAAACCAAAACGAAGTGCTGTAGGATGCAAAACAATTCCATAAAGCTGATGAGAATTGTAATAATGGTTATGGGTTTGTCACTACAAGTGAACACCTTCAGATTACAGATAGTAATCTGATCTATTGATAATGTAAAAATATTGATTATGACTGCTTTAAATTTGTGATTTGTGGATTTAGATAATAGTTTGCTTTGTTGAGACCTTCAGGTTTTGATTCAGCCATTTTTTGAAGATGAAATTTGTATTGTTGTTTGTTGCTAGTTAGTGTTGATGTGTCTGCATGAGACCACAGTTCCTCTTTGCTAATTCAGTTTTTCATTTGTGTTTAGGACATGTTTTGAGAATTTGTCAACGGCACATTTCATGAGCTTGTGGCTTTTTTGAGCAACGCTGCGGCAAGTCACGCAGCAGTTTCTGTAACTCAAAATTTAAAAGGCAGCTTCACAATAATGTGAGTGCCAAGTAGCAAGTTGGAGTTTCAGCCATCACTGTTAAAAGTGAAACTCCAGCAATTCTACTCATAAAAGTCAGTTTTCTCATGAGGGGTATTATAAAGCCAGTGAAAGCAGTCGTTTAATGTCTTCAGTGGCTGTGAAAGGAGCTTTGTGAAGTTGTGAAGAAAAAAACTTTTACAAACCTTTACAAACCAAGGATGTCAGTTTCAAAGACAAGAAAGTGATGAAAAATATAATAGTTTTACCCAAACTAGGAACAAACCGTCAGGATATCTCAACCTCTGCTGTTCTGATTCTGTCTATTCTCTTTTTAATACACCAACTTGCCATAAGAGCAAGAAAACACATAGAGGAAATAGTAATAAATATTTTAGGTAATGCGCTTATTGCTTTCTTACCGCAAGTTATATGACAAGATTGATACCTCTCTCAGGTCTGTGTGGTAAATATTAAATTAGAGCTAGCGGCTGGTTAGTTTAGCCTAAAGACTGGAAATGGGGAAACTGCTAGCTGTAAACATCTATATGAGCTGGATCAACACCTGTGACTGTTTTCAATAAAACATTTAACTCTGGTTCTCATTCCAGGGATTTTACATTTTATTATCAGTTGTATCCTTACATTTTCTCCACCACCTACACAGTCCTCCCAGTACACTACAGATCCTAGTGATATACATTGTTAAGGCTGTTCAAACAGATGATTCATTTGAACCAACAATGTGCGAGCCACTGTATGATACCCAAACGGATGAAAGATGAATCAGCAGCAGAGGAGCCCACACCAAAACACACACTCACCTACCTGACCAAACATGTGTCTCTATTAAGTGACATGCAAGTTAAAGTGGTGTGTAATACTGTTAAGGAGGTGGGGCAAAAGAATGAATGACTCTATATGTGTTAGGTAATTGTGTGGTAAGTTGGGTTTTGAGAAGGTGGGCATATTGTTGTGCCTGCTTTGCTTTAATGTAACAACTGATGGTGCGGTTGAATGACAAAGAGACCTGGTATTTCCTATGCTCAGGAAGCAGAGGAAGTTCCCTATCAGCATCTGACAGAGACGCAAGATCTACTTCAGCGCTAGAGTGGCAGTGTATTTAAAGGGCGTGGGGCCAGCAGGCATGTCTTAATACGAGTCCTCCCTCGTGTGGTGTTAATAATCAACCCTATGAAATTTCCTGGCTGTTAAATTCATGTTAGCTCCCGCTGAACACCATCTGTAAGAGATTTCACCAGGTCCTTAGACAGAGTATTGCTGATGATTCCCCTCTGCCAGCTGCTAGCCTCCCTTTGTGTATCATGGAAACAGGCTAGCCTGATAACCCTGCCACATGGCCCTTGCACAGTAATACGTAGAGCTCAAGTATTCATGTACAATATGTTCACGCTGTGTACACACAGTGTTTACATCCCTCCTTTTTGTGCCATGGAAATATGTTTCTGATCTTTGAACAAACACACACACCTTTTGCACACCTAGCAGAAAACACATCCACACATATGTTGTGTTCGGTAGTCCAGGGGACGATATCCTGTGTGCCACCGCTTTGTGTTGGCTGCTAATAGAAACACAGGTGACGCATGTTTAAAGATCAGGGTCCCAGTGACGTCAGAGGCCTGATTTAAACCCCTCCCTATCGATCATCATACATGTACACATGAGGGAGCATCTTTTGTTTACTGGCTGGGGTTGACTATAGCAACCCTGGAGACTCTGTTTGGTTAGACATCCCATTAGGCAGCCAAATATTTGTTCATCTCTGCATGGATGAGATAAAGATGGACCTGGAATATTTCACACTTTAATAAAACAAAAATAAACCCTGACAGAAAGCAGACTCTGACTGTGGCATTGGAAATAATAAAAGAATATAGCAAGGGGGTAATGTTTTTTGCTGTTGCTGTCTCTGATAGAAGGATTTATGCAGCAGCCTGCCCTCTGTCCTGCCCATTTTGTAAAGTTAGAAGGATCATTCGGGCCGACCACCCGGAGCAGTCCTGGCTGTAATGGAACATTCATAACCCTGAATGGCCTCAGGTTACCTAGACAACCCACACTCCTCCTCCTCCTCCTCCTCCTCCTCTTACTGTGGGGAAAACATCAAACACACACACATAGGCCCCCGATGCAAATGAAGGACTCAGACAGGTTACCAAGTAACCGTGAGAGTGGAGGGGAGTTGCTCCACCAACTCAGACAGTCTACCTGTTTGATCTTTCTGCTTCAGCATCCAGCAAGTATTTTGAGCCGTCGACTGTGACATCACACATAGACTCCATTTAATTAGAAGATGCCTCTGATGAACTCACTGTGGATGGGAGGTAACACCGCACGTTGGCCAGTCCTCCTCTGACTCTGTGATGCTCGCATTTCTGTTATCTATGTGTTTCTTCTTGCTGGCTGGTTACTGATGATCAAGCCAGAAGTCCTGGTTTGATGAGGAATGATTGTTGCGGGAGCTCACATCTAAAAGCCATCTTTTGGTAGATTGTGTCGAGCAAGTAGCATTTTGATGTGGTAATGAAGTACTTTGTGAAACCTTTCTCTTCTTCCTGAGTGCAGTCTTACTTTCCTCTACACATGATCCATCTTTTTCATTTTTTTTAGCTCCTACAAATTAAACCTAACTTGAATTTAATTTGAAAATGCCTTTAATAACTCAAATTACTTATTAAAAAGCTTGTCATCACGACCAAGTGAATGTTATGGTAAACTCAGGGGTAGTTACCCCAATGGGTACTACTGCAGTTGCCAGGGGGAACATGGGAAGATTTTACATGGTATCTATTTTGGAAAAAAACTAATTACGATAAGATTTTTTTTAAAATCACTTATTGGGTCAGCTATAACATTTGAACACTACATGTTGAAAGAACATGTGAAAACTGGTTAGAAAGCAAACAGTTAGCTAAAAGTAATGAATATATGGTTGGAAAAAATAGCTGAAAGTAATGAATAAACAGTTCAAATAGTTATGTACAATGAATGGATAAAAGTAATAGATAAATGGTTGAAATGTCAAGCATTGAACATTACTTTCTACCACTCCAAGTGGTAGTATGAATGCAAACTTGACCAAACCCATTTAAGTTTTGACATTTCAACTGTATGAATATCCACTTTTACATTGTTAAAAATTATATTATAACATCCCATTTAAAATAAGTTCACATGAACATATTTGGAATATAACAGTTGTTGGTGTTGATGAAGGGGTAAATGGCATAGACCACTCACTCTAACTGCTAAATGATAGATCCACCCCTCATATACTGTGACAACTCAGAGCTGACTTGTGAAAAGTATTGCAGCAACGTGGCATAGTTTGGACAATATTGCCCCCTTGTGGTTACAAATCATATATTGGCTCATCACAGGTGAATTAAGGATTTGTTTGTTTTATACATTTAAATATTATAATAAATGAATATTAAGTGGACCCAGTATAGTATAGGAGTACATTTTTGTGTTTTTGTGTGTGTGTGTGTAAATACAGGATACAGCAGGGCAAGAGCGCTACCGCACCATCACCACAGCCTACTACAGAGGAGCCATGGGCTTCCTGCTCATGTATGACATCACTAACCAGGACTCCTTCAATGCAGTTCAGGACTGGTGAGTTGGACATTTTTTAAACAGCTTGGTCTGTTAACATGAACACAGGAGATCATGTGTTTTGTGCATTTGTCATTTAGTTGAATTATCTAAAAAACACCTCAAGAGTTTGGTGAAACTTGGTGTGAAGGCCATGGACCAAGGAAGAAGCAACGACCTTTTGATATCTATAGCCCCACCATGTGGCCATGGTGGGCTATGGTGGTGTGAGGTGTAAAAAGCAGCACCTATTTATATCGGCCATGTCCATTTCTGTCTCATTTATTGGGTTCTATATAGCTTTACAGCTCCCCCCCCCATTTTTAATTTTTAATCTTTAATCATGCAGACTGTGAAACTTTGTCTGTCCTACAGGGCGACACAGATCAAGACATACTCCTGGGACAATGCTCAGGTGATCCTGGTTGGTAACAAGTGTGACCTGGAGGACGATAGGCTCGTCCCCACAGAGGACGGCCAGCGACTGTCGGAGGACCTCGGTAAAAACTCTCACACAGTTTTGTCTTATTGTTGGCTTCTGCAGACAGATATTGTATGCATGTGTGTACTGTATCTATGTATATTTTAAAATGCATTCAAATATGTGCATCTGTCCATAGTTAATCAAATGAAATCATGTTCTGCTCCCCCTCAGGTTTCCAGTTCTTTGAGGCCAGCGCTAAGGACAACATCAACGTGAAGCAGGTGTTTGAGCGCCTAGTGGACGTCATCTGTGATAAGATGAACGAGAGCATGGAGGGAGACATCAACCTCATATCCAACCACGGGAACCAAGGCCTTAAAGACTCAACTTCAGAGAGCCACGGGGGCTGTGCCTGCTAAACCACCTGCCTTCTTAACAAGTCCCCCAACACACACACACACATAACACACACAGCACACACATACAGATACTCATACACAAAGACCACAAAGTCCTTCTCTGTGCCTCAACCATGGAAAGTGCCGCACCTCTCTCTTCACTCCAGCACGGCCCAGCTTTGCTTCGTCCACACAGCGCAGCACGAACCAAAGGACAGCTAGCCAAGATAATCTTCATCAGCGCTGTCAGGCCCCTTTCTTCCCCAGGCCTGTCTTTCTATCTTTTCCCTTGAAGAGGCCCACTCTCTGGTAAAACCTGCTCTGTGTTCGGTCAATCACCTTGACCGCTGGTGCCCCATCAGCATTTGAAATGTACTGTCTCTGAAACATTTGTTCAGTGGCTTTTTACTTTTCTGAGCCATATATTTGTCCAGATAGCTTGAAGCTAGTGAGGCCAAATAGTGTATGTAGATGGCTGTACTTTTGGCATTATTTAAGATTCATATGTGCTTTGTTTACACAGTAGACACTGTTTTACAATAATAGCAGTTAGTCTTGCAAAACAGACTATGGGTCATGAGCTCATTTATTGCCAGGAGAATTACATAAACTCTGTCACTCCTGAACATTTATTTCCAAAACGTCAGTTCGGAGAGTGGTGCACTTGTCCAATAGGACGCTTCATGCTCATGACTGATTGAAGGAGGGAAAAATTTATATATATTTAAAATATTCTAAATATTTTGCACCCTACTTGAAAAGATGTATGTCTCAAAGGCGTATTGAGCTTTGCAAGGCTTAAAGGAATAGTTTGACATTTTGGGAAATCTGCTTATTTGCTTTCTTGTGGAGACTTTAATGTCTGTATTCTAAATATGAAGCTACAGCCAGCAGCCAGTTAGCTTAGGTTAGCACAAAGACTTTTTTTGTACGGATTATGCTGGACGTGGACAGAGCCAGTCTAGGCCTTAAAGCCGTATTTCCAGTTTTTGCGCAAAGCTAACCGGCTGCTGGCAGTAGCTTCATATTTACCGTACAGACATTAGGGTGGTGTCATTCTTCTCAATCTTTAATCAAATTCAATCAAATGTTGGATACAATCATAGTTTCTGTTGTCTCTAAATTTCCATAAATATGGACATATCAGTAAAGCGCAGTCAAATGAGGTTCATTTGGGAAAATAAACTGATGCCTTCATGGTGTTTTTTTCTGGCATTGAAATCATTATCATGTTCTGATGATACCCTAGATGATTTGTCTGTAGCGAGATTCTGAGGTACATCTCGTCATCTACCACTTACAAAGTTAAAGCATCAATTAAGACAACAAAGAAAACCAACAGAATGTCATAATGAACCTTATCTTTTTTTAATTTAAATGGCAGTGATGCCCTCTCTATCCCTCAGTGCTTCTCGGAAGCCTTTTCTTGCGCACTAATGCAGGGACAGCTGGACAACTGTTCTAATGCTAAAAGTTGAGCCTCTTCGCAGAGCAAGTATACTTGTGTGAGGAAGTCGTTTAACACTGATGACACATTCGTCACATGACCTGACTTGTGGCATGTCCTCGCTCACCCCTGTGTGCCACTCTTTGTTGAAACACCTTTTCTTGTGCACATGCTTTCACCATGATACACACAACACACACACACTGCTCCCCCAACTGTAGCGTGGCAGAACAGTTGGCATGGCAAACCTACTATGCTTAATAACTGAGTATTTAAAAAGTGATGAATTCTCTTTTCTTGTTTTGTTTTTGTTTTGTTTTTGTTACTGACATAACGACTGTTTAGTGGAGCAGCACTGTGTGTGTGCGTGTGTGTACTCAGAAAGGGAAGAAAAGCAATGAGCTGGTGCAGAATATTAGTTAAAAGAGCCTCTGTCACTTTATCTTAATCCTTATCCCATTACTGTAATATCTCGTCTTGACGTTTAAGTTAATGAATTGAGGTTTATCTTCATTCCACATTATGTCATGTTCGCCATCAGTTAAAGTGTGCATTACACAGCTTTTTTGTTCCTTTATACCATTTTTGACATTTCTGTATTGAACGGTCAAACTACCCCTGCTGAAAGCTGTGTCATGATTAATGAAATAGAAATTTGAAGTGTCTTTGGATTGCAGGAATGGGAAAAATTTTACTAAAGGGCAAATTTTTGCTATTACTTTCTGTTAATTATCATTTACAGTGCCATTTGATCATCACCGTCCACGTGCTGACTACTGACTGTCCGTTAGTATCAACCATAACCTCTGCACCACGATAGCAGACTCATGTTGCCAGGCCAAAGCCCATGGTCGCTCGGCACAGCTCAGGGGTTGGGTCACAACCGGTGGTCAGCTCACTCCCTGCTATTGTATAAGCCTGTAGTCAGTTATCTCTCCTCCCAGCATGTGCTGATGAACAGTGATATGGTTTTTACCACACTGAGCTTTCATAGCAGGGTTTAAAACAAGGAGGATGTGCACAAGGTCACTGACTCGTAACACTACATTTGTATTACAACATTTGTGTATAATGCACTGTGCAGGTTTGCAATGTATTTACATGGAATGCAGAGGCATCAGAGAGCAAATAATATCTGTGATAGTTTCACTAAAGGAGCTTACAATGGCGGCTGCTGTTTGTATACATACTGAATGTGCTAAACTTGTACTGTTGCTAATTGTCCACTGATATTGAATTTTTAACCACTTCGTCCAGTATCTGTCTGCCATATTTGTACAAATATGTCTGTAGCATCCAAAGCTGTTGGTCTGGGGTGTGCTCTTTTCTTTCTTATGTTGACAATCTATTTGTTTTCATGTCTTGCATTTTCTGATTGACTGCGTTTTAAAAGAGGGAAGATAAGATTATTTGATCCTGTTTTATTTTAGGCTTTGAATGTGTTGAATGGAAGCATTGTGGGGGGAAATGCATCTTATAAACAAAAATAAATTGAATGTGTTGAAATGTGTATATGAAAATAAAGAATATATTAATTACAAAAGGGGTTGAGTAATTGCCAATCAATGTCTTCAGTTCCTTTTGCAAAGTGTCCAATGGTACAACATGACAACATGGTAGAGTTTGTGATGACACAAGCATCTAAAGTGCAATTTATAACCATGCTTCCTAACCCCAAAACATAAGGCCAGGGCCTTTTTTTTCACGTTTTATCTGAAGAACCAGAGAAACCACACTCTGCCATTGTCCTCCACAACAATACAGATTTCCTCATCCTCGTCTTCCTGCCACCATGGTCAGTAAGACACATTACCCTCCCTGTGCAGGGCCTCTAAATTCTTTCAAACGGAACTTATCTGGAGTCATTTATTCACTAAACTGAAATTTAAGGTATCTTCATCTGTAGCTGATCGTAGTCACGCAAAATCAAACGCAGCTTTTCTTTCCATCAGTGCCCACTTCACTGGGACCAGGCGGTCTTCTCCCCTTTCGTGTGATGTAAAAAAGCGCTTAATTGCATTTAAACTGACTGGGATGGGCCACTACGCCCCCCCAGGCTACTTATCATGGGTGAAGAAACAGGGGCGTCTGCAGCTCTGATAATTCTGGTCGAACGAAGAAAACATGTGAGTGCAGCAAGTAGATAAGAAACCGTTTAGGTCTGCTTCTGAGGTGTGTGAGCACTCTGCGGTTTCCGTTACTTGGGCACATGCAGGGATTAAGTTGGCCGGGGACCAGCTAGCAGCAGAGCCCCACCTCCTCAGATCCTGAGAGGGGTCTGCTTCAGCCGCAGTTCGTTCACTAGACAGGTGCTCAGGACACACCCATTTAAATAAATAAATAGATTATTTGTATTCATTTTTTTTATTTCACTTTCACCGTTTCCCAGAGACAACTCACTCTATCTATCTATCTATCCAGTTTAGACTTAGACTTATAGTCTGTGCGCTATTACGCACGGCGCCAGTCAAAGGTCCACTTCCTCTCTCACCACAGCAGCAGAAACAAGTCAATGAGCGCGTGATTCCCGCCCATCACCAAGAGAGTAAAACGTGTTGTGAGACTGATCTTGCCCCACCTCTCTTACACTGACTTTGGAAGAAAGTAAACAGCTCGGCTCTAAACACCTTATCGCTCACAAGCAGGCGCGTAACCGCGTTGCGCTATCAATGGTCCTATCTAAACAAAAAACAAGCCTCCCCCGACGAGAGCAGCAGCGGACGCGTTGGAGACAGGTTGTTTTCCAGTTATGCATGCGGACAACAGAAGACGAAAAGTCTTTCTGTTCACAGAGACGACAAAAGGATGATATGCCATCACCTGAGCCGATTGTTGGTACTTTACGTGATATTCTGCGCCATGCAAACACCTTCCATCGTCCAGGGCGCACGAGACTTCGAGAAAAAAGGTAAGATAGAAACATTTTCGGCCTCTTGATACCTGTAATGACAGCAAAACCGAAACTTTTAAGGAAAATAGGTTGAAAAATTGGACAGATTTAAGAATAACCTTACATTATTTGGATTGGATTTCATATCTAACATAACAGCATATCTATGCAAGCAAAAGGGTTTTCGGTTGCTTACAATTGTCCGTCACCTCCTTAGTATCTATAATGCTGAAAGAAGAGCCAGAAAACCCAAAGTGCTTTGCTGAAGGCAGGAAAGACTTCACGTGTTTCTGGGAGGAAGATGAGGAGAGGGCAGGCTCTGTGGACCAGTACTCCTTCACATACACCTACCAGTAAGTCACATTCAATGTGAGACATAACAACACGTGGGGTGTCCACTATGGTCGATATACAGTTGTGTAACCCTGAAATTCATATACTGAGTTCTTCTTTGTCTTTCTTTTCTCTATGGCAACCAATATGCTATAAATGAACCTATTTAATGGTTCATAAACCACAGTTATTAAATGAGTAAGTAAATGGTTAAAAGCAATTTTTGCAGACTTTTAGGAGCCTGATATTTAAATAAAAGACCAATATTTTAGTCTAGATACGTAAAAAATAGTACCATTCAGCATATTCCTATGTCAGAATTCTTACTATCCTCATTCAAAGAAAAAAATTCCCTCTTTCTGAACCTGCAGTGATTCTGTCTTTCTCTGTCCCGAGCAGAAATGAAAACAGCAGCAGGTGCCCACTCAGATCCGTCCCTGCAGCAGGCGGGAAGAGGCTGTTCATCTGCCATCTGAACCGAACCCAGATGTTTGTCCAAATGGACATACAAGTTCATCGAGAGAGAGTGCTCATCCACAATCGCAGCCTTCTCATCGAGCTTGTCTGTAAGTTGTTTACTGCAAACTCTGCCACCACATTCCACTAAACAGTACAGTTAGAGGAGTGTGACTCCTTCCTCTAAAATTCCCAATAACCTTTTTTAAAGCTGCTAGAATTTCTATTCTTATATAGACAATCGTTGACAATCTATTGATTATCACCTGAATCTGCAGTTCCACTCAGCTTTATCACCTTTAAGTCTATTGTTTTGGTTTTTTGGCTTACGTCTCACAGCTCACATCAATGTTGTTTTCTGCCACAACAGGCAACTATTCCAGAGAAAAAGCTCTAAATACCTACTGCACGCTACCTGTCAAGCACCTGCACAATAGATAGATAAAGTCAGCAACTAGATGAAAGACATAGAGGAGCATTTAGCAGCTAAGCCAGATATTAACCTCAGGTGTTGGTGGAGACCAAAAACAGAGTTAATAGGAGAGTGAATATTGGATTTAAAAATCTCTACAAATGAATGTTAATGTTGCTACGTTTCTGCTGGATGTGTAAACAACAACTGAAAAGGTGTCAATATGTGAGTGGTTTTTTGGTTATTTTCCTCGACTTCCCTCCCTCAAAGTCTTCCCTAACAAGCTGCCTTTTGTCCGTCTGCATTGCAGTTCTTCTGAACCCGCCGGCTAATGTGACAGTGAGCAGCACAGGTCAGCAAGGCCAGCTGAATGTTAGCTGGGTGCCTCCCCCTCTCAAGTACATGGATGACAGCATGATGTACGAGGTCAGCTACAGTGCAGCGGACAGCCACGTGGGGCAGGTATGACGGTTATTTTAATGTCCTGAATGACCTCACTGATATGTCAGAGGTTTGATAAAGCTTTAAGCAGTAGGTTTTTCTGAATGGTTGGTGCAAATAGGAACCCGTACTGATGAGTTGAGGACTGTTTTGCAGGTAGAGGTGGCACGAGCCAGCTCCGACTTGATCCTGAGGGGCCTGCAGCCAGGTACAAAGTACAAGGTGCGAGTCCGTGTAAAGCTGGACGGCATTAGTTACAACGGCTATTGGAGTGCCTGGAGTGAGCTGGAGTTCATGGAAACACTGCCTGCAGGTGAATATTCATTCACCTATGCAATACAAATGTGTGTCACATGAGAAGATCTAGTATGCATTGGTTTTATTTATTTTTGCTTACTGTTTTGTGATCGTTCTGTGCTTCCTCTAGAACTCGATCTACTCATCATGTCCCTGACTCTCATCATCTCTTTTGTCCTCATTGGGCTGTCTCTCACTATGCTCCTGTCACATCGCAGGTCAGTCAACCAGGAACACATAACTTATGTACTAGGCATATGTCAGAACCAGCTTATAGTTCTGATTAATGAAAAAAGACAAATGTAGATCTCAATCTGTGCTCTTTTCAGGTTTCTTGTAAACAAGATTTGGCCGACTATTCCAACTCCTGACAGCAAGTTTCAAGGCCTTTTTACTGTTTATGGTGGGGACTTTAAGGTAAGAACAAGACAAGGGTACAGCCTTGCTAGGGCCTGAGTTCTGTACTTAGGCACCAAGCTTAATACTCACATTAGTACTAATTGCTAAAGTCAGCACACTGCATGCTCACAATGAAAATGATAGCATGCTGATGTCTAGCAGATATATTTTTTTAATTTAAGTTTTCGTAATCCTTTGTTATATTGTTGTACAGGAGTGGTTGGGGCACACCAACGGAGGTTTATGGTTGACCCCAGCTTTCTACGACTCAGAAGAATTCCCCTCTTGTCTGGAGGTCCTGTCAGAGCTCAGCCTTTGCCCCACACCGCCTTCCCTGCCTCTGCCGCCAAAGACCTCTAGAGCTTTGACTGCAGACAGGAAGGAGGACAGGAATGTAAAGAAAGGGCTCAGTGAGAGAGAGACGTTGGAAAGAGGGGGTACAGTTCTGACAGATGGATGGAGAGCCACACCACATGACCACTGGCTGATGGACCGCTTACGGGCCCTCCACCAGAACCCTGTTCCCTCCTCCCAGTCCTCTCTGCTGGAGTCTCAAGACGCCTACGTCACCCTCAATGCCAACAACCACAGCGTGGACGAACATCTGGATGACATTCTCGAGGAGGCCTTACCCCTTGAGGTGCTTTTTGCCTCCAGAAAGAAAGCTTTGTGTGAATCTCACTCTGACCTGGGATCAGTTCAGCAGAGCTCCGGATCGGGACGCCTTTCATCACAGTCCAGCTTCGAGTACCCAAACCACATCTGGATGCCCAAAGGCCCAGGGTACACCTACATGGCAGTGGCAGACTCTGGGGTCTCTATGGATTACAGCCCCATGAGCAGAGTAGACGACATTGGAAAAGTGGCTATCTATGCCAATGAGTACAAGAACGATATTCCTGCTCATAGAAGACCTTTCCTGTTGAGGCAGCACCCTGTCCATGATGACAGCTGAGAAGGGACTAAGCTGGACAGTTTACACATGGGCTGAGCCTTGAGGCAGGCTCTGTGAAGGGTATTTGGGTATTCACCCAAAGCTACATAGCCTCTCTTTAACTGTTAAGAAAGGAGTACCAGGGATTCCGGAGCTGACTGACACCAAAGTGTAAGCTAAAGGACTAAGGAAGAAGAGTCCACTTTGTGTACATACATCATTTCTACTTTATCCAAATCATCCCTGATCTGTACAGGACAATACCATTACACTGAAATGGCAGCTGTGGTTTCCACCAAATCCTGATAGTCAATGCAAAGGTCTGCATACTCTTGTCTGTAGGTATCCTACCCTGTAGATCAGACCAGGATTTTTATAATTTACCAAAATTTAAGTTTAAGAGTGTTTCCATAGTCATTTATTCATATTTGAGTGTACTCTTATATTAACGCTTAAATGACAGAATAGCAATTAGGTTCAAATATAGTCAACATCCTAGAATTGAAGACTGTGAACAATACAGGACAATGCTCTTTGCTTGTTCCTCTGATGTGTCTTGAAGAAAAAGGCTGGTGATGATACATTTATATTTTTTTGTATTGTCAAAATATCCCACAAAAAGACAAAATCATCAATGAATGTGTTGCAAGTGGACCGAAAGCCTGATATAGCTAATTCCTATGACAAACTGTGGGCCTCAATTTTGGTCTGCAGTCATGCTAGCAGCTCTGTGAGGCTGTACTTCTGACTTGCAAATAGCATTCAAGTCCGGGTCATAATTTGTGACAAAGAAACTCAGATTTTTTCTGAAAGCTCTGATATATCTAACTTGGTAATTGTTCAGACAGAAGACCAAGTATGGAGGCCTCACATTACCCGGCATTATGCACAGCAATGCTTTTTGCTAAATGCTAATGTCAGCATGCTAACATGCTCACAGCAGCATTACTCACACACTGTTTATCATATTAGCATCTTAGTTTTTATCATCACTGTTTAAATTGTTCGCATGCTGATAATTGTTAGTTAGTACTAAATACAAAGTATAAGTATTATAAGCTGAGGCTGATGAGAATATTATTAGTTTTTCAGGTATTTGGCCATAAACCAAAGTACTTGACTGATTGAAATTTAAACCTGATGATGGTGGTAGATGAAACACTTTGTCCTCTGGGGACCAGGGATTTTTTTAATTCATGGCAATCCATCAGATAATTGCACTATGTGACATGTTTCTTCATTATGATGAAGATAGGTACAGTGGTTTATTTTTACTGGTTTTACTTCAGCATTTTTTAGGAAATCACACAGTATTTAACGAAATTGAAACTGCTGGCTGGCTATTTGAGTGCCATGGACACTCAACACATTGTTGGTTGGGAGTTGTTGACAGTTAAAAAATTGAATATTGCCAGCCTTATAGTTTAACACACCATTAAACTATACAGCTTTAACTTGAACCCCCGCAGTCATTATGTCAATGCCATTTTGTGTCTGAAGAAACTCACTGTATTTGTAAATAGTATAAGATGCTTTTTGTAGTATTACAGCCATTTCAGAGGACAATTAAACTAATAAGTTGTTGGCAACAGAATCCTGGAACAAAATAAATAAAATTACTACTACTGTAGGCTTTGTATGAAGGTTTTAAGGCATTATTACTTCTCATGTAACTGTAGTTGTTAGTAAGTCTCTAACTTGTTTTTAGTCATTGCTGCCATCTAAAGAGCAGAGTGTGTACAGCATGTCTTAACCTTGACATTTCTATGCAAAACATTTAAATTCACAGCAGCTGTGAAATCAAACTGAATAATTTCTGTTCTTCATGCTTGTTTGCTTTTGTCTTAGTGCAAATATCTTGTAACTGAAATTGTCACTACTCAAAAAGTATACAACTACATTTCTATTCACTGTTGACTGTTGAAAGAAATGTGTTACACAAAAAGTAAACAAAGGTTTAATGCCCAAACCACAACCAACTGGCTGTTTCTAACACATTTTTCACAAAAGCAAATAATGAGTTATCAAATATGATAAAAACAAAATGTTATTCTTTAATATCTATTGTTTCACATTTGTGGATATTACTTTGGCTTTTTTCCTAATAAACAACATATATCTTAAGAGAAAGTCTTACATTTGTCACACTCAAAAGGTGAATATCTCCTTCTTGCATTAATTAATATTTTAATACAAATTTCCTCATTAGTAGTTTACTTTGGAGTGATATTAATTTTTTTTTCATTTTTTAGAAACAATATTTGAATCGACAATGATATTGTTTATTTTTCAAAATATATATTTGACACATTGTTTCTGATTTGTAAAATACTTTAACTGTGATATCAGCCACTTGAGTCCAATTTCTCACATGTTAATTGCTTCAGTGTTTCCAACCTGAGGGACAGGACCCATCCAAGGGATGCAAGATAAAATTGAAAGGGTTGCAAAATGGGGCTAAGAAAGAAATTAATGTGCTATGTGCAAAATATATGTTTATTTTAACGTACAATGTATTGAGAGATCCCTTTTTTTTTTTTTAAAGGGGCTTGAACAAAAAAAAGTTGGTAACCACTACTCAATAGTCCCTCAATTTCTATGTACAGTTTTTCATTGTGTAAGATTTCATTCATGTGTTTGACAAAGTTTTATGCCATTTAAAATTTCAACTCAATAAATGTTGTACATCTACAACCACTGCTGTCCTGTTAACTGATATCTGAAAGGGTGAGCAGCAGATGACATCATGCTGCATCAGTGATAAGGCAACAAGCTTTGGTGAAAGCTTGTTCTTGTTCCGACTGCTAAAGTCTTTGATACAGACGTTTTCAAACCAACTTAAACTCCATTAAACCATCAGGAAAAATTAACAGCTGCCACTCTTGGGCTACATCTCGCCTGTCCTCACAGTCTTTGGTACTACAAGCCTCTGTAATGCCTGTCCCAGAAAGGTAAATGTGCCACACCTCCTGTAGTCCAGCTGCTGCAGCTTCGTAGCTCCTGTCTCGGTCCAGAGTGCAGCGTACCTGGAAATAGCGATCAAGAACATCAAGGATGGAATCTGTGCCGGAGGCCTCCCCACTGGAGTGCCCAGCGTCCACTTCTGACTGGAAAGAGGCGATGAGACGGCAAGGGGCCGAGCTTGAGGAACGTTGTTTCAGAAGCTGTGTGAGAAAGGCAGCACTGTCACACAGCAGTGCAGACAGGTGTGCGGCACAGGACTGTTCTCCTGGGTGAACTCCACTGTGGGTGCCACCTTCAGGACCACACAGGTAGCCCTCCAGCCTGTCAACTATGATCAGCGAGGGCGGTGTGGGAGATGTGTTGGTGGACTCATGGAGGCTGGCTACCTGCTGCAGCAGCTCGTCCACTGTTCTAGGATAGGAAAACTTGATTTTCTTTCAAAAAAAAGAAAGAAAGAAGAAATGAATTATACAGACATAAGCTGAATGCGTCAGTGCAGTTGATCAGATGTTCAATGAATTGTTTAGAAATGTCACATAGCTTGAACCAGCAATGTTTGGCATTTTTACTTGAACAATGGCTGACACAATCAAAATAATTGTTAATTTTCTGTCAATCAACTAATTTATTGACAATTTATTTTACCTGTTGGCCTGATAAACTACACCCACAAAAGTCTTGAAAAATTACTCAAACATAATCTGATATACTGTCATAAGACAAGTTCTGAAATGTTTACTTAACACTTTTATCAATACATTAATTGTTCAAATTGTTTATTAAGCAAAATCCCAAAAAGTGTGTTCGTTCCATGATCTGAAAATGCAGATTCCATTGTGAACAGGTCACGGTCCTTAACTGACCCTTATGACAAATAATGCATGACTACTGATATAACTGATCAAACTGAGGTCACATTGCAAAACCATCACCACATATGGTATGTTCACACGCTGTTTGCTCATACGTGATCTGTTTTTTTAATAATGGTGTGAACAGCACAAATCACATGGAATCTGATTATTTTAAGTGTTATCTCAGTGTGAACAGTCATATCAAAATTAATGCGACTTTTATGTCTCTCTAGGTCGACATTTGTCAGGTCACTTAAGGACTGTGACCTGTTCACACTGTAATCTGATTATATCTAAAAGCCATATTCTGAAAAAATACCAAAAGCAAAACAAAAAATCTGATCTGAGCAATAACTTGAGCATTGAGGCTTGCACTGTGAATGTTGCATAAGGAACTTCATTAACTTCTTAGACACAGATATTTTTCACAAATACAAAATAATATGTAAATAATATGTAATGTACAAACAAATAAATGCTTGAATTAGTAAGATATATTTCAAGAAAGAAAATACAGGACCAGTTTCTCATAAGACTAAAGTGTGAAACTAATAGCTTTATTACTCATTGATAAATAATTTACTGACTTAATACGTTTTGGGTTGCCAGGTTGTTGACCATGTTAATGCTGCTGAGTCATTCATAATGCAAGAAATCAAGTGTTTTTCTATTTTTTATAAGACATCGAGTCGACATATAAGTTATAGGGAAATGATGAAGGGTTTTCACAATAAGACATCAAGGTTTCAATTCCGTAAATGTTAATGAGTAGTTAAATCTGTGGTCCAAACCAAGTCCAAGTCCTGTTTTCACAACTTGGCAACCCAGTTGTTGGTCTCAAAAATGACTTACTAATCTCTAAAGCATTACTAAATGACTTATTAACCACACATACATCCATAAATTAAAACTACAAGCACTTTATAACGAGGTGAAATCAAGCACACGGTTTGAGAGGACAGTGATCTCCACCTTTAGACTCTCTGGGCTCAGGCTGGGAACACACTTCTGCAGACACACTGGAAGGCTTTGGATTTGTGTTTGAGTGAAGAAGATCACTTTCATTCCCATCTCCGAGGCAGCTGTGACGGCCGCCAGCAGCAGCACAGAGCGGCTGATCCCGGGGTCTCCGACCAGCAGTGTGCCGCAGGTTGTCGCTGCTGGAGGAGCGACTGCGAGGTCCTTCCTTCCCTCCGTGTGGGACAGAAAAGTCCTGAACACTAGTGTCAAAATGTCTGTCATGACTCACAATATGACACAGTTTTTCTCTAACTATGTCGTCTGATAGTGGTGTTCACGCCGAAGTTTCCCGCGTATGTTTACATGTTGCACATTGGTGTTCGTGCTATTGCGGTCCGTGTGAGTAAAAACACTTTGCGGACTGCATCGTTCCGCTGCGGTTCTCGGTGTACGCAGAGTATATTTCTCTCAGTATTTTAACAGATATGTACATGGACGTACACGGCCCTGTTTCAGTGAAGTTCCCAACCCCGCGGTGTAGGAACACAAGCGGAAAAGGCGTCCGTATCAGCGCTTCCGCTCCGACATGACAACTTCCGGGATACCGGGTAATCACAACATCAGCTGCTGTGGCCAAGATGGCGCATAGCCTGGCAGAGTTAGAAGTTCCCCTGGACGCTGAACAAGCTGGGGACCAAGAGAAAGGTGTTTTTAGACGTTGCAGAGGACGACCCAGGCTCACAGACTCCGACCGAGCCCAGAGGCGTCTTGAATCCCGAAAGAAGTACGATGTGAGGCGGGTGTACCTGGGAGAATCGCACAAGCTGTGGAGTGAGCTCCGCAGGCGGACCAGTCTGAGTGATGCTGGACTGGCAGAGTATCTGATCCTGCTCAACTCCACCTATGGAGACAAATACCAGCAGAAATACTGCGGGTAAGCCCAGTCAAAGCAATACCCATTTAATGTTTTTTTTAATATATAAATGTAGTGGAGTAAATGTACTATATTTCCCTCTGAAATATAATGCAGTAGATATAAAGTATAAAGTAGCATACAATTTAAATACTCAGGTACCTCACATTTGTATTAAAGTACATACAGAGAAATAGGGGTATCATTTCTGTACCCACAGGTACATTTGGGTGTCCATAAGGTGACCTTTTAAATGTAGAAATTCATGGTTGATAGGAAGGGGTACATAATTAACGAGGTTAAGGTAGAGGAAAGTGTTACAGCCAATCGATGATTTAAATAGAGAGTTGGGTTTATTGAAATAAAAAAGGCAACTTGTAAATTTCCATTCAAATCTTGGTCTGAGAATCATTTATTGTTTCAAGTTCACAATGGATCTATTTGAGTGATTTTGTTCATTTAATCAAGTTTAATTGTCAGTGTAGCAGAGTGAAATGCTTACACTAGCAATTACTTACAATTTTATTTAAGTATTATCACTGTTTTATTCTCAATCTATTTTCTCATTCTTTGCATTACTCCATACCAGACTGTGCAAATTGTACTACTGTAATATTATGAGCTGCTCTCTCAGCTCCATTGAGTAGGTGTTTTATTCTGCTTAACCTGACCAGTGAATGTCTAAATTAAAGTGTTTTTGCATTACAGAAAGAAGATTGCTCCAGAAGTCTCAGTAAAACAGAAAAAAGGTGAGTGAAGCCATTGACAGGTGAATCTCAAAGGTC